TTCTCGCTGCTTGTTTGGCGCACGTGACATCCACTCCCAGAACATAATATTTCGGCCCTTAAATTAGTCGTGCACAAGGATGCCACCGACTGTCCACTGGCCACTTTACAAACAGCATCTAACAAACATGAACCATACGAATCATTAGAAAGCCAGACCGCATCAAATCACTTCAAGTTTCGGTACAAAAACCAACGGCAGCATCCTACTGATATCATAAAAATATAGGTGAACAATTCCGACGAATAAAATTGTTGTCGGAAAGGTTACTGCTAACGGTTGTTCACTTGTTCTAGCTGCTTTCTTCTTCGCAACTCTTTCACCAACCATCCAAATAGACATGTTGGCTCACAGCTTTATCATCCGCACTATGCCACTTACTACTGTGCATTGACACAAATTCGTAGATCGAGGAAGCCGGTTTTCCTCGAGATCCGAGGTGCATCGCCCACATAATCACATTATGTCAGTCGCTGAAGAACCGTCACATATATTGGTGACCCACGGTTGCTGGGTTCCTCGACATCAAAGGTGCCTTCGATTCACTGGAGCGACGTGCCCTTTAGGACTGTCTGCTAAGGAAAAGTGTGCCCCAGAATTATGAAAATATTATGCCAGGGCTTTACGTGAGTAGCTCAGGCAGAGTGATGGCCTGCGGCAAGCTGTCGTTGCCCTTCAATCTCTCCAACGGTGTAAGACAAGGATATCCGCTGTCACCTTTCTTCTTCAAGTTCGCTATTGATGAAATCATGGAGATCGTTTTCACAGGACAGGATTTAGAAAGAGTAGGGTTGCTCCCAGGTAAACAAATTGTTGTCTTGGATTATGTTAACGATATTGCAGTCATCTGTGACAACTTTCAAACGTGCCAAGCGACTCTGGACAAAACAGCACTGGCTGTATACTGTTTCGGGCTCTGCTTTGCAACCTAGAATTGCCAAGATTGACTGGGACAACTTCCTGCACTGACCCTTGGCGGGAATCGGCTAGAAGTCGTTCAAGGGCTCAACTATTTGGTAGTCGTGTCAGCGCCTTTGGAATTAAAGTAGTGGTCATAAACCGTATGGCAAAAAACGAGGCGCTTTTGTTAACCTTCGCCACCCATTGCTGCGGCGCGACATAGCTCTCTCCTTGAAGCGCACAGTGTCCACTGTAGCTATACGTCCGACCCTACTTTACGGTGGTATAACCCCGGCCCATTATATCAGCCGACATAAAGAGGCTGGTTACGTTGGCCCACCGGTGCGTTTGCAATTTGGCTCATATCTGGTGGGAACACCATGTGAGTCATGAGCTTGTTCGTTGCCTTGTTTATGGCGCAGGAAGAAGAAGCGAATCGCTCAGCACGTTTGTTTCACGCACCAGGCTACGAAAGCTGGGTTACGTGTTGCGCTTGGCAGCCCAGCGACTTCCGCGACGTGTGTTGTTTGCGCGCGGGGGTGCATATGGAAGAAGAGTATGGGTGGCCAATCGATGACTTGGTCGAGAACAACGAAGGCCCTTACTTCGAAGTTGGCGTCAGTGGGATCCTCTCGGCTCCTTGGTTGGGGACCGAAGGACCATGAGCACGCCGCGTCTGACTGCGCTGATGATACCACCTTGCATGGTGGTGAAAAGTTCACAACAAAACCGCCAAGCACGGAGAACAAATGAACAATGGATTCAGCAACCCAAGCTACCAGTATTCGGAAACATTTTAAAGGATGAACACGTATGCTTTGATTCACTTTTTGACGTGCAAATAACCGACCGCAATGGCGTTTGTGTTGTGAACTTCTCTTTTCGTCTACCTCCCGCTTAGCATCCCTCCAAATGCGACCTCATTCATTAGACATAGCATAACTCCGTTTGTGCGGCGCAACTGCCAGCTGTTAACTTTCTAGAACGATCTCCATCCGGTACTGCTGAGTCAGCCGTCATGCTTTTGTTTCATTTTTTTCTTCTTTTCTATTGCGGCACAAGAGCCGAGGTGTTTTCCACCTGTATAACGTAGATAAAAGGCTTGTGTCTATCGCTAGCGGATGATTATTTTTGGCTCAGGTTATCAGCTATATTTCTCCATTGTGTTATAAATTATATGGGTATACCACTTTTCATGAGTTCAGAAAATATTCACAGGGAAGACATCAGGAATACGATGCAGCGAACAGGGTCGTTTTCGGTAGTTCATCCTCAGGCTATTTCACCACGATATAAATGATTAAACAAAACACAAATCAAATGCGATGATGAAAGGAATCGAAATTTTTAATCAATATAACTAAATGCTTGGTCTACTCAAGGTCAAATCAAGAGGCATAACGTAATCGTCATCGTTACTCAGGGCAGGTTGTTGCCAGGGCAGCTGAATTGTCTGTACGACATTTTGACCATATATCTCCGGGTTTGGGAGTCGGATAGAGTTTGCCTCCGCTGTAGCCAGTAGACGGCATCTGACGGTTCATGTCCGGTAGATGTGCTGAAATTCCTCTTGCATTTTGATCTGATGATTGGTATCGTTCAGATGCGACAATAAGGCGCTCGTTCTCATATTTCTTATACCACTGCTAAGTCAGGTAGGGCAATGTTCCTGAGCTCTTTTGGACAGACGCCTGGTAGTTTTCAAGCACGGCTGACTCTAAACCACCTCGTGTACAACATCTGGGAGCCCCAAAGTGCAATCATGGGAATACACGTTTTCAATCCCTTTTGGCATCCAAGAATGACGGGTTATTAATCCAGGAACTCAGCAACCTAAAAAGCGTTACCACAATACGTGTTGACAAAAATACCAGAAGTGGAGACGATAAGGGGATACGATAAGTTGCAACGAAACACAAAGGCGGTCCACGAGATAGGATGTCAAACTATCGGCCTATAAACCATACCTCCACCTCTTCATAAGGCCTTAGAGAAAATCGTCAAGCCTCGGGTAACACAGTTCCTGACAAGACAAAACCCACTCAACAGTCCCCAACATGGCTTCATAGCAAAACCTTCTCGTGTTACATGCCAAGTATAATTCCTTGATTATATTACAACGACCATAGATCACGGCATGGCCATCATCATAATCCATCTGGATAAACAAAAGGCGTTTGACTATGTACCGCAAAAACTATTGTTGGTCGTGTTGGAGTCATATGGAATCAGTAGCCCACTCTTGGGCTGATTCGAAGCATAAATTAACGGCTGAACACAGAGTACGGATTGGTCAATATTGTTATACTTACAGCAATGTCACGAACGGTGTTGTTTAGGGCAGGGTATTAGGTTCACTATTTTTCCTGATTTACACAAACGAAATATGTGATTAAATTAGGCATGGGCGCCTATTTGCATTCGCGAATGCAATCAAAGCGTATTCATTTCCGCCTGACCATCTGGAACTGTGCTTAAAAATATACCCGAGGATTTATCATCCATAAACAAATGGAGGAAAATCAACTCAATGAGGTTTTCTGCAGATGAATATCAGATACACTGCCACAGATGCAGTATACCAGATGGATTCATCACCCTCACTGGTACCCCCATCCCAACATTGTGTTCCGTTCGAGACCTAGGAATTCGATATTCGGGCGGTTTCAAATTCTCCGAACACATCCTAGCTCAAGTACCGAAAGCGAAGCAACTAACAAGCCACATCAATAGCTCACTTTCACTAGACCAAACACTAATCGAATCATTCAAACTCGTTGTGCGACCCACTCAACAGTACGGCACCATCAAGTATAACCACTTACTAAAATAGATAGAACCCCTCCGGAAAACGTCCAGCGCTCATTTACAAAAATGCTCATGGGGCGCTCATCATCACTTAATTATGAAGAGCGATGTTGTTACCCCAAACTCGATCCGCTCAGGCTTCGACGGCTGAAAATCAACTTCATTCTTTTCTACAGCATACATTATACTCGCGAGTTTGCTTAACCAGTACGACCGTCGCATTGTATTATGTCTCAACCTCTCACACTCATAATGGGAAATCTCTACTATCCTTAGAGAGGTGCAAAAAATATCCGCTTATAATTTTTCTTGGTGAGGCATGCCCATCTGTGGAATAAACTAAGATTGTAATAAAGAACCTGCAAGAAGTTGTCTACTTTTAAAACTAATTTAGTAAGCTTTTCTATCCATGACAAATCTGGTCAAACGTTTCGACCTCCAGTAGTCTACTAGTGCACTCACGGAATCGGACCCGAACAACATATGACAATATAAATTAGCAAATAATGTTACCTATTACATACGCAAAAAACATTGCGTAACTGTGCCATATGGAATACAGTTCATAAATAAAATGGTAACGAAACTCGGTGTATAAATGTTCGTTCAACAAAAGGGAACGTATCCCGATCGTCGGAAAACATACCCAACCAGTTATTCATTCATTTACTTATATTGATTAGCGGCTTGGTTTGGGTAAAACATAAAACCACTGTGGCCCAAAAAGCAAGTAACACTTGATGCAAACTGAATGTAGTGCAGTAGTACATTCCAAACATGAACTCAAAGCCATGCGATGAAGGTGAGAAGTGAGATTTCAGAAACACTGAGGGAACTGTCTAACGGATCACCAGCCAAGAGACGGCCGTACGGATGGAGACCTCATATTGTTACAGCTGTTCAGAATTTTGACAGACACATTGTTACAGTTGACAACATCACCGGTTTTGCGAGAATGCAGATAAACATGGTCCGCGCGGTCAAAGTTCGTGCCACACGTGGAACATGTTGCAAAGCCATAATTTTGCACGACATACACATGAATTCATCGATCATTTATAGTGGCTAGCATGTGCACATTTTGGTATATGTACGTGACTAAGTTGAACGGTAAGACTTTAAGGACATTTCATTTGACTGACAGTACCGGGTGATCGTCTTTTTCAGTTGTTGTTAACGCTATTGGATAAAAGAACGCGATTCTAGTCACATGTGAATTGGACCAGGCATTACAACAGTCAAGTGCAAGCATTACTCTGTCTCTTAACGTTTTACCGGATCTTATACAAAAGATGAACTTAGTTGATTTGGCTGATGGGATCGGTCTCCGGCATGATACGATAGATTTTGCGCAGTGGCTGGACGACAACGATCCGTTGCGTGAATATCGAAGCGAATTTCATATCCCCACATTGGATAGTGTGCAGAAGTTAACCAAAGTATCACTATCTCCTTGCTATGAGCGCCGAACCTCGGAGGTGATATATTTATGTGGTAACTCACTTGGTTTGCAGCCAAAACGGCTAGATGTTGCATTGCAAACCGCGGTTCGACAGTGGGCGGATTTGGGGGTGCTTGCTTATCATTATGGTCAATTTCCTGCATCATCCAGTGATCTTGATGTGACGGCGGATGTCGCCAAGTATATTGTGGGTGCAGATCCCGATGAAGTCGCGACCACAGCCAACCTGAGTGTGAACATGCACACACTTCTTGCTGCTTTCTACCGCCCACAAGGTAACAAAACCTTGATTATGGTGGAAAAAGGTCTGTTTCCCACAGACTATTATGTTTTGGAATCCCACGTTTCATGGCATGGATTGGATCCTAAAGAACATCTTCTACAAATCGAACCACGGCCGGGTGAATGGTGCATAAGCACACAACATATCATTGAAACGATTCAGACCTACTCAGACCGCTTGGCTTTAATATGGTTACCTGGAGTTCAGTATGCTACTGGCCAACTCTTTGAAATAGAAAAAATCACGGAAGCTGGACACAAGTATGCCGGGTGCTATGTTGGATGGGACCTTGCGCACTCTGTCGGAAACACATTGTTGGAATTACACAAGTGGAACGTAGATATAGCTGTGTGGTGTTGTTATAAATACTTAAACGGGAGTCCAGGAGCTGTGGGTGGACTGTTCGTACACCAAAGGCATCATCATGCCCCTTCTACCCACGGACCCGCTGTACGGGGACAAGGGACTCAGCAGCTTGGTCCACAATGGACCGGTTGGTTCAGTCATCGCGCAGAGACACGAATGGAAATGACGAATCGGATGGAGCTGGCCACTGGTGCAGCAGCATATAGAATCTCAAACCCGCCATTTCTACTCTTGGCTGCCCTGCGTGCCAGTCTTGACGTCTTTAAGCAGTGTGGTGGAATGAGACCTGTGCGAGAAAAGTCAGTTAAATTGACTGGGTATCTGGAATGCTTGTTGAAGCACGGAAAGTTTACTCTTCCATCTGCATACTTCACTTTCGTCACTCCGAGCGCGCCGGAGGAGAGAGGAGCTCAGCTGACTATTGCAGTTAGCGCACACGTTCAAGACATTTTTGAAGAACTTCAACGAGCTGCAGTTATTGTTGATTTACGCCACCCAAACTTCATTCGTGTGACACCAGTACCCATGTACAACACATTTGTTGAACTGTACCACTTTGCAAAGTGCCTGTCGTGTATTGTAAGTAAGATCTTCCACTAAACGTCCGTTGCAATAGTTGGTCTACTTTTATTATATATATAACTACAGGTTGCTGCACATACACAAAAGACAACGAAATGAATCGAAACAAGGGAGTTCTTACGAAGTCTTAAAGAATGAAACGTAGAGCATCTTACTACATACACTAAAACCTCCGCAGTTAATTACCAATATGGTATGACCACCACACTAATCCGAAGGTTTTCTCACGATTTGAAAATTCATCATGTAAACCTTATGGATCCAAACCTCTCTTTGTTGACCACTTCGCTCTAGTAGTCTGAGAAGTCAAATTAGTAATATTTTACTGTATACGTAAGTTAACATACCAGCTGTGCAACTAGAACTGGTATAGCACAAGCAATGCTTGGGCTTCCGAGTATATAGGCATCTGTCGTACTAATTCCAAATGTTTAATATTAGATCTACCAATTGATATATTATAGTCTCAATCGTTTGCTGATGACTGGGCTATATAATGGTATGCCAAACCGAATAGTAAAGCATTTTATCTGACTGATTGCTTTTTAGTCGCTTAATCTCAAGTTAGATCGATCTGAAAGATATTTGTGACAAAATATTTACATCTGAGAAATTAATAAGATAATATGCAATTTTTGGGCTGAATAACATGTTAGACTGTATTGGGCGTCCTAAGCTTCGTTCATAACCGATTTACCGTCATGCAGATAGATCCAACTTTCCTGTGGCGGTACTGCATAAGTGCCAACCAAAACGCTGAAAGTTCGATATTGAAACCGTCGGTGTTGCAACAGCAGGCACAGAAACTATGATAAAGTATATCTAAACTTGTGTCAGATTAAAATAGCAGAAAAGTAATACGAGTATCCTCGCTGCGACAGCAGATTAATGCGACTAGTCCACAAAAGGTATTTCCATCCGACCTTGGGAGATTTGTACGCACTTTTTCCACTTTGCAATTAGATAAGAAGCCACTTAGGGTTCCATTATTTTGACAAAGTTCTGCTGCCCACAAAATGATTTTAAACGGTTGGACTTAGAAGTTCATTTTGAAAATCTCATCTCCCAGGTTTCAACCATCACTCCGTCATCGGGAATGGCATTAGAGCAGTATAAATCAACTCCGGTCAACACATGGGATCAATATGTTAATTACAAACCGGCTAACATATATCAGTTGAAGAACGAGCATTTGAAAAGCTTGAAAGCAATCAAGAGAAATGAAATTCTGCCATTATCTAGACTAGACAGAGGAGCTGGTATTGTCATGATGGATAAATCGGATTATTATATCAAAAAGAAGAACAGTATCCTTAACGACAGATCAAAATTTCGGGTGATGGAGAACAAGAAGGATAAGACACTTTCGATAGAGTTGTCTGTATACGGACTGCTGTGTCGGCTGAAACAAGAGGGCGTAAATGACTCCGATATTTTTAAACACATCAGACCCAGTGGAACAGTGATTCCGAGAATCCATGGTCTACCGAAAGTACATAAAACTGGATTGCCACTAAGACCAATATTAGCTATGTGCAACTCTCCATGCCATCCACTTGCCGATTGGGTTGTCAAACGTTTACAGCCAGTCAAAAAGGTCTCAGCCAATTACAGTCTCAGAGATAACTACGACTTTCTCAACTCAATGGCCAAAATTGAGCTAACCGAGCGATAGATGTTCTCGTTAGAGGTGGTGTTTCTTTTCACAAACGTTCCACTAGAACAAAATCTAGACTACTTTTGTGGCTATACCTCGCTACACCAAACCGACATCGGTATCCCACAGAACATTTAAAACAGCTTTTTCCCATGTGTACCAAAAACATACAGTTCCAATCTAACGGAACAATGTATGGACAAATAGATGGGTGGCAATGGGTTTACCATTGAGGCCACTGCTCGCGGACCTCTTTATGAGTAAGCTAGAGTATAACCAGCTAAATTAATCCATTAGAAGCTTGGTATACTACGGCCGCTACGTAGGCGACATATTTTATGTCGCGAATAGCCAGGCGCACTGAGACTGTGCAAGACAACTTCGAAGACGCACATTGCAATATAACGTTTATCATCGAGTATGAGCGCAACATCATCATCATCATCATCAACAGCAATACATCAGCCATTTGAACTGATGCTTCGCTGCCATACAACCATGAGCATCTATGAAATAAATAATAAGAGGGAGAGAAGGGGGACTTACCTGAAAACCATAATGCCCTATGCAAACATTCAGGGTCAAGGCGCCTACACCTTGTGTTAACAACATACCGTCACAAACAGCTGGCTATCATGCAAAGATAAGGCGGCATCGGCGAGACAGCTTCCTTACGGCTTTCACTGCCATGCGTCATAATCAGCCATTACCCCGCAGATAACTCAGCACCAAACACACTTTAAACAGACAATCCGATTAGGAGACGGCAGCAGACGCGCCACTGGTGTCGGTTGCGAGCCATGTCCTGTAAATTCTCGAGCCAAGCACAAGGTGAGTCACGTGGACTCCAACCCGGAAGGCGAGACGGACCAACGGCACCCAGTTTGGTCGTCAGTGACTTCATTTCCCGCTGCCAAGTCAACTTCTGTCCACCTCGAGCCTTGGGCCATTCGACACCTGGTAGACTGAACAAGGCCCTCCTAGGTAAGCGGTGACCAGGCATGCGTAGCACGTGCCCGAGCCAACGTAACTTATTCAGTGCTATCTGTTGTTCTAGGGAGCTAGCATGATTATCACCCCCTAGTACTCGTCTACGCACATCATCGTTGCGGACACGCTGGTGCCATCCGACACCAGCAATGCTTCGCAAACAACGATGATCAAAGACTTGAAGGCGCCTCAGATCTTCAGACCGAAGGAGCCAAGTTTCACTACCATACAGCAGAACGGCCATCACTGCGGCCTTGTATACACGGGTTTCAGACGGAGGGAAACTCCCTTCTGTCGTCAAAAATGCCGCAGATTCAAGTAGGCAGCCCTGGACTTTGCAATGCGTGAGCTCACGTAAGTTTCTATGCGCCCATCATTGCTGATGCAGCTGCCAAGATAAGTGAAATGATCAACCACCTCGAGTTCTTCGTTAGCAAGCGTCAAGGGGTCATAAAGTGGCTGGTGGTCCTGCAGCAACACTTAGCACTTTGAAGGTGCGAAGTGCATACCAATTAATGGGACCACTCTGGACAGGCTATTCAGGGTTAATAGTGCCGCCGCAAAATCGTCAAAAAGCGAAACGATATGGTCCGCATAATCTAGGTCAACTAACCTTACATCAGGCAGCACTTCAACGCCTACATCGTTAGATTCCGTCAGGGAACACTCCATGATAGAATCCACGACGAAATTGAACAAAAACGGGGAAATCGGACAACCCTGACGAGCGCCACTTGTAGTCGAAAAGCTATGCAATAGGACACCATAGACCCTGACGCGGCCTGTAGTGTCGGAGTTTAGAGCACGAAGGATGTGCACATATTTCGTGCGAACACCTTTCCGCGCAGGCATGTCGAACAGAATCGATCGAGCGGCTGAATAGAACGCACTCTTGAAATCGAGGAAGACAGCTATTGTCGGTCTGCGGTATGCGTAGCGCTGCTCTAGCACCTGCCGCAAAGTAAATATTTGGTTTATACAACCACGTCCTGGCCGAAAACCGGCCCGTTCTTCCCTAATCCGAGATTCCCGTTCTGCAGTGAGGCGACGATCGATAATCGAGGCCAGTACTTTTGTCAAAACTGGCGTTAGGCTAATACCTCTGTGGTTCGCACAGTCTGTGCGACTGTCCTTCTTGTATATTGCTACTATAATCGATTCGATCCAATTAGCCGGCACACTCTCTTCGTTCCAGATACGTTCGAATAGGGAGGTTAGTGCTCTGCAGAGGACCTCACATCCATCCTTAAATAGTGCAGGTGGGTGGGAATCCGGGCCAGCGGCACGAAAACGATTGAGGGCTGTGATCGCGTTTCGGACCTCGGACTCAGACGGAGGCTCTAAACTAACCGTCCATGGCACGTCCTGCCTCACCTGAATAGGAAGAGATCCGGGAGCAGGGGGCCAGCTGAACTGATCTTGAAAGTGTTCAGCCCAACGAGCCATACGGCGCTCCTTATTGTGTATCAGCGCACCCGCGCTGTCTCTGATTGTCTCACTGACGCCTGATTTTCTGGGACCAGTGGTGCGGATTAGCTGGAAGAGCTTCCGGTAATTGCCTACTGCTCCTGCTTCCTCCATTGCTTGAACCCGACTGGTCCACCAGGCTTCCTTGTCAGCACGTAGGCTCAGCTTTAATTCACGCCTAATAGCCCGTCTGGTCACATTGTGTTCAGAACCAGCCGGGAGGTGTCTTCTAGCTTCCAACAGGTACACGGACCTCTCGGATATCCAGTGACCGGTGCGGTGACGATGGATAGTGCCACAAACAGATGCTCCAGCGTCGTGCATAGCGGCCGAGATCCTATTCCACTGAAGTTCAGTGTCATTAGGACAAGACAGCGAGAGTTCGGTATGCAGTGCTTCTTGATAGGCTTGCCTGACCGAGGGCTGGGACAATTTCTCCGTTGCCAATCGTAGGGGACGCTTTGTGCGCCTTCCGGTAAAGTTCGTGGAGAAACAACAGCGCACCAAGGCATGATCAGAGTCGACACAGGTACTCCACTACGAGGGGCAATCCAGAATGGAACCGCGCCATCTGTAACTTATTGCCATGTGGTCAATTTGGGTCCATCGCTGGCCAGCTACAGGTGGACGCCAAGTGGCACTTCGGCGCCCACTGTGTCTAAAAGCAGTGTTAATAAGAAACAACTGGTGCTCCGCACACAGTTGCAGCAGACACTCACTGTTGTCAGTCCGTTCGGAGTTAAGTCCATACTTACCACCCAGCTAAGCTTCTGAAGAGCTCAGACGCCCTGCTTGTGCGTTCATATCCCCTGCAAGTACTATAATATCTGAACTAGTAGCACTGCGTTTTGGCGCATTCAGTTCGTGATAGAATGTCCCTGACAGCATTTGAACTGCAGTCGGT